GGTGACTGCTTCTCCGTCTTCCTCGCTGCCTGCTGGGGTCCAGGCTGACGGGAAAGCACAGGACACATCCGTCTCTGCTTCGCAGGGAAAGTTAGTTCAAAGAGGTGACATTTTGGAGGAAGGTGGTAAATAGATAATATGGCACAAGAAGCAACTGAGCTGAAACCGGTTTGGCTCAGTGGATAGAGCGTTGGTCTGCGGACTGAAGGGTCGGTCCCAGGTTCGATTCCGGTCAAGGGCATGTACTTTGGTTGCGGGCACATCCCCAGTGTGGGGTGTGCAGGAGGCAGCTGGTTGATGTTTCTCTCTCATCGATGTTTCTAACTCTCTATCCCTCTCCCTTCCTCTCTGTAAAAAAAATCAATATATTAAAAGAAGAAGAAGAAGCAGCAGCAGCAGCAGCAGCAATTGAGAGGGATGCGGGTGCAAACGGGAACCGGGGCTCGCTGGAAGTGTAAGACTGTTCTGAACCCGTGGTCGCACTGTATGTACTCTATAGAATCCCCCCGCAACGTGCAGACTACTTTCCCCCTCCCCCTCCTTAAACCCTCCCGTCCCCCCCTATTCCCGCCCCCTTCAACTGGTCAGGGATGCGGCCCAGATAGTTGTCTGTTAGCTCCCCTGCGATTCCAATCACCTACCGAGGGTTGAAGGACTGGAGGAGCATGCAGGTGGTTTGCACGGCATTCTCTGCACCTGGACTCAGACTTTCACCCCCCCCCCCCCCCACCCCTCCCGGGCTCCAAACGGAAGCCGGGACGATTCAGGCGCGACTAGGACCTGGTCCCAGCCCCAAGTCCAGCCCTCCCCGCCCCGGGCCCCGCGGCGCCGGAAACCTCAGAGGGAGCTTACCTCGGTGCCTGCAGGACTCCGTGCGAGGGGCGCGAGGGCCCGGGCTGGCTGCGAAATCCAGGTGTTCCCTCTGCCGTCCTGGAACCCGGGAGCCCGCACCTGTGCCCCTGAGGCGGGCGGTGGGCTGAGCCCGCCGGGAGGGCCGGCTCTGGGCGCGGCCGGCGCTAGGTGGCGCCCGAGAGCTGGGCCTGCGGAGCTCCCTGCGCCCGGGGCCGGAGGGGGCGCTGCGGGGCCAGGGGGCTGCTCCGGGGAGGATCGCCCCGTGCGGGGCCCGTTTCCTCGCCTCTTCCATAGGGCTGTGGGGCGGGTTAGTACAATCACTTCTCAAGACTGAGCCCTTGCCTGGCCCCTTTGCCTCCTCTCACCAGGCAGGCCCGTTTTACCAGGTGAGCAGCACTTTTTTATTAGCAAAGCTGAAGGATTTTTCAAAGTGTTCTTGCTCAATGAGTCTCACAGGAGAGTCGATTGGCAAGAAAATCACTTTTTTTTTTTTTAAACAGGAAATTTATCAAAATAAGGTCCAAGAACATATTTTCTACACTCATGTAATGGGGAAGGAAAGTAAGTCATGACGAGGACCCGGAGTCACTGAAAAACCCCAACGTTAAACAGATCCGGTTTTGTCCAGTGTTATTTCATGGAGCGTGCTTGAAGCCTTTAAATATCTTATAATAACATTAGAAGCAGGGACCCGTCACTGGGTTGCTACTAATGTTGGCCCTCCCTGATGCACAGAGCCTCACAGAAAGCCCCGCAGCCAAGCCCATTTGAAGTCGTGTCATCTTGCAGTTCTGAACCCTTAAAATAGTTCCTCTTGAGAAACTTGAGTTTGCTTTTGCAAAGTAGTCTTTCCCATTGTTACCAATTATTTCTCTACTCCCTCCCCATTTTATTTGAAAGCTTTTGCCAGTGTCTGGATCAGACTCTGGAAATATATAATAATAAACAATAACAATAATAGTAATATTGGATAGTAACAATAGGAAACTGTCTCTATCCCTAGAAAACTCACCATCTAGCGGGGAGAAAGGACAATATGCAAATAACACCAACACTGTGTTCAGGGGAACGATTCATTACATTTTTAAACTTTGTATTATGAAAATCTCAAACATAAGCAAAAGGAAAAGGAAAAGGAAAATGAATCTGCTCTGCTTGTCACCCAGCTTACAAAATTATCGACATTTTGCCAATCTTGTTTAATCTATGCCTCACCATCTTGCTGATGATTTTTTACAGTGTTATGAAAGTAAAATAAAATTCATACCATAAAATTCACCCACCATAAATGTATAAATCAAAAATTTTAATGAGTTTACAGTTGTGCAATCATCACAATCCAACTTCTTTAAAATTTAAATTCATTATTGTTTAAAGTATTACATATGTTTCCTTTTCCCCTCATTGACCTCTCCCCAGCCTCTCCCACCCCCAGCACATGCCCTCACCCCCTACTGTCTGTGTCCATCCATTATGCTTATATACAAGGCCTTTGGTTGATCTTTTTACCCGCCCCCCCCCCCCCCCCCCCCCCTCCCCGCATCCTCACCTGCCTCCCTTCTGAGGTTTGACAATCTGTCCAATGCTTCTATATCCTGTATCTCTGGATCTATTTTTGTTCTTCAGTTTATGTTGTTCATTATATTCCACAAATGAGTGAGGTCGTGTGATATTTATTTTTCTCCCACTGGCTTATTTTGCTTAGCATAATGCTGTTGCAGATGGTAAGAGTTCTTTCTTTTTTTACTGCAGCGTAGTGTTCCATTGTGTAGATGTACCACAGTTTTTTAATCCATTCATCTGCTGATGGGTACACAGGCTGTTTCCAAATCTTAGCTATGGTGAATTGTGCTGCTGTGAATAAAGGGGTGCGTATATCCCTTCTGACACAATCCAACTTTTCATCATTTCTACTGTCTCTCTGTGGGAACCCCTTTCACGTCCCATGTGGTTCAGAGTTCCGGTTAGGGGTTCTGCAGAAGGCCGCACACAAATGAAACAGACTAGAAAAGTATTAATTTGGGAATCTTGGAGGCCAGGGGGGAGCCCACCTCTAGTGGGAGGACTGCCCTAGGCTCTGACCTTGCTATCCTTTTTATTGAGACTATGGGATACACCATAGCCTTAGGTAATTCCAGTAACAGGCAGATTATCTTATCAGTAAGGATTTAATGATTATTTGGTGAAGTTGCTTCAGCTACCATTGTCTCAATTATTAGGGAGTGGTTGGTTCAGACCTTTCAGAGCTTAAAGGCTGACCAGCCTTCCACATCTTTCTATTAGTGAGACAGTGATCGGTTTCCAGCATCCCTTCAATTTTGCCCATGCCTATTTGAAGTCAATCTTCATTCTCATCCCTAGCCAATCACAACTATTGATCTTCTTTCTGTCTCTATTGATTTGCCTTTTATGGATATTTCATTTTAATGAAAATTAATAATGTGTGTGTTTTTTGCATCTGGTCACTTTCACTGAGCATGCTTTCAAGGTTCATCCATATTGTAACACGTATCAGAACTTCATTCCTTTCTTATTGATGAATAATATTCCACTGTATGAATATACTACATGTTATTTATCTGTTATTAGTTAATGATACATTTGGGTTATTTCCATTTTTTGGCTATTATGAATAACACTGGAGACCCAGTGGACAAAATTCATGCATGGAGGGGTGGGCGGTGAGAGGTGGTGTTCCTCAGCCCAGCCTGCACTCTCTCCAATCTGGGATCCTTCTCACAATCCAGGATTGCTGGTTACCAACTGCTCATCTGCCTGCCTTCCTAATTGCCCCTAACCGCTTCTGCCTGCCAGCCTGATCACCCCCCAACTTCCCTCCTCTGCCAGCCTGGTCACCCCTAACTGCCCTCCCCTGCAGGCTTGATCACCCCCAACTAACCTCTCTTGCAGGCCTGGTCCTTCTGAACTGCACTCCCTTGCTTGCCTAATCACCCACAACTGCCCACCCTTGCAGGCCTGGTCCCTCCCAACTGCCCTCTCCTGCTGGCCATCTTGTGGTGGCCATCTTGTGTCCATATGGGGGCAGGATCTTTGACCACATGGGGGCAGCCATCTTGTGTGTTGGAGTGATGGTCAATCTGCATACTTTTTTATTATATAGGCTAGAGGCCTGGTGCATGGGTGGGGGCCAGCTGGTTTGCCCTGAAGAGTGTCCTGGATCAGGATGGGGGTTCCCCTGGGGAATGGGGTGGCCTGGGTGAGGGGCCTGTGGTGGTTTGCAGGCCAGCCACATCCTCTGGCAACCCAAGTGGAGGCCCTGGTATATGGGACTTATTTATCTTCTACAATACAATTGAAACTTTGTACCCTTGAGTGGAGGCCTGGGCCTGCCAAGGTGTGTGGAAAGCTTGGCTCCTTCCATTGCCAGGGAAACCCAAGCCTCCCTACTGCTCTCTGTGGCCACAGCCATCTTAGTTGGGGTTAATTTGCATACTTGCTCTGATTGGCTGGTGGGTGTGGTTTGTGGGTATAGTGAAGTGATGGTTAATTTGCATATAACTCTTTTATTACAGAGGAGGAGGATGTCTATGGCTATTCACTTTCATGCCTTTTTGTAGGTATATTAGAGTGGAATTACTGGATATTTATGGTAACTTTATACTTAAAATTTTAAGAAACTGCCAATTCTCCCCACCCCCCCACCTCCGCTCCTAAAGTGACTGTTCCATTTTAAGTTTCCCTTAGGAAAAAGACTCTGATTTCTCTAGATCCTTGCCAACATTTATTTCTTTTTGACTATAGCCATTCTAATTGGTATGAAGTGACACCTAATTATAGTTTTAATTTACATTTCCCTAATGAAAAATAATGTTGAGCATCTTTCCATACGCTTATTGGCCATTTGTATATCTTGGTTAAAATGTCCATTCAAACCTTTTGCTCATTTAAAAAAAACTTTTAACTGAAACCGGTTTGGCTCAGTGGATAGAGTGTCAGTCTGCGGACTGAAAGGTCCTGGGTTCGATTCCGGTCAAGGGCATGTACCCTGGTTGCAAGCACATCCCCAGTAGGGGATGTGCAAGAGGCAGCTGATGGATGTTTCTCTCTCCTCGATGTTTCTAAGTCTCTAACCCTCTCTGTAAAAAATCAATAAAATATATATTTAAAATATAAAATAAATAAATAAATAAATAATAACTTTTAATTTTATAATTTTAGATTTATGGGAAAACTAGAGGCCCGATTCATGAAACTCATGCACTCGGGGGTGGGGAGTGGGGCCTCAGCCTGGCCTGTACCTCTCACAGTCAGGGAGCCCTTAGGGGATGTCCAACTGACAGCTTCGGTGAGTGGGTCTAAGCCTCGCTGAACATCCTTAGCGCTGCCACAGTGGTGGGAGAGGCTCCTGCCACCGCCACCGCACTTGCCAGCAGTGAGCAGGGCTCAGGGCTTCTGGCTCAGCCGCAGTCCCCCTGTGGGAGCTCACTGACCACCAGGGGGTAGCTACTTCATTGAGCATCTGCCCCCTGGTGGTCAGTGTGTGTCATAGTGATCGGTCTTTCTGAAGTTGGGCCGATTTGCACGTTACCCTTTTATTACATAGGACTGTGACGAGAATACAGACTGTCCATATTCCTCACACGCAATTTCCCCTATTATTAACGTTGGCATGTGGTACATTTGTCACAATTAACTGAAGTCCACACTTTGCTCAGGTTTCCTTAGTTTTTACGAAAGGCCCTTTTTCTGTTCCAGGATCCCATCTAGGACAGCACATTACAAATAGCTGTCATGTCTGTTGAGAGTTTCTCAGATTTTTTTTTTTTTTACCTTGCCCTTTGATAACCTCAGCAGTTTTGAGGAGGATTGCTCAGATATTTTGTAGAATGTCCCTTCAGTGGGATTTGTTGGATATTTTTCTTGTGATTGGGTTGGGGTTATGAGTCTTTGAGAGAAACATCTCAGAAGTAAAGTGCCCGTATTACTCTACATGGGGCTGCCATAATCAATACCATAGACAGGCATCTTAAACAACAAAAGTCTATTCTCCCACAATCTGGAGGCTGGAAGTCTAAGATCAGTGTGCCAGCAGGGTTGGTTTCTCCTAAGGCTTCTCTCCTTGGTTTGTAGATGGCTCTCTTCTCCCTGTGTCTTCACGTGGTTTTCCCTCTACCTGCCTATGTCCCACTCTCCTCTCAAGGACACCAGTCATATTGGATTAGGCTCCAACTCGAGGACCTCATTTAACCTCAATTGCCTCTTTAAAGATCCTATCTTCAAATACAGTCACATTCTAAGGTGATGGGAGTTAAGACTGAACATATCAATTTGGAGCGGGGCGTCATTCAGCCATAAGAGTGCCCTTCTCATCGGGTCAAGGGTCATGCTATTAACACAACGATGTTGATGTTGACCTTGATCACCTGGCTGAGGTGTGTTTGTCAGGTTTCTCCACTGGTTTTTTCCACGTAGAGTAGAAATCACGATGTGCAGTCCACACTTAAGGAGTGGGGATTATGTTCCATAAAACCCTTATAAGAAACATAGGGTAAATCTTCATGACCTTAGTTTTGGCAAGAGAATCTCAAATATGACACTAAAAGCACAGCAACAAAATAGAAAATGGATAAATTGGAGTTCATGAAAACTCAAAACTTCTGTTATCAGAGGATATTATCAAGGAAGTGAAAACACAGCCTACCAGATGGGAGAAAATATTTGCAAATTATGTATCTAAAAAGGTTCTAGTTTCCAGCATATATAAAGAACACTGACAACTCAACAACAAAATGGCAAAACTTCAGCTTTTACAAAAAAACGCTGTAATGAAGAAACCTGTGCAGAAATCATTTTGCATATTTTAGCAGATCTGTAGAATAAAATTCCGAGAAGGCCACCTACCTTTCTAATTTTGACAGCTCTTGCCAAGTTGCCCTCCATTGAAGGTGTACCAGTTTAGATTTCTGCAAGAATCTATTTTCAAACCTATTCTGAAATATGCCAACACTGACAAGACTCCTCATTGCAGTGTTACTCATAATAGCTTCGAACTAGAAACAACCCAAGATACTCAACAGGAGAACTGATAAATAAGTCATGGTCTCATCATACAACGGAATACTACATAGTAACAAAAAAGAACAAAGTTCTGCTACCCACAGGGTGGAAGAACCCCATGGGCATGTCAATGAGTGAGAGAAGCCAGGACTCACTGTGGGATTCCCGCCAGATGAATCAATTACGAAGTTACCAGGAAGAAGACATCTTCCTAAGGTGACAGAGATAAACACAGTGGTTGGCCGTGGATGGTGGGGTTACTGACTGCACAGGCACAAGGCAGTCCCCTGAGGGGCTCAAAATGTCCCACACCTTGACCTAGCTGATAGTTACATAGGTGTATAAATACGTAAATACTCATCAACCTATGTGTAAGTTATGTCTCAATTTTATTTTTAAAGGCTTTTTCTCTCTCTTTAAAAGCGAACACTAGTGTGCTGACAACATGGTCAGGGCAGCAGGCAGTCTCCATCTCTACAAAGGGTCTCTTTTGTCCAGTCTTAAGCCAGCTGTGGGCTCTGGTTAAAGGCGGGGAGGTCTGTAGCTCCCTCCGGGCTGTCTGGGGTTCGTCCCGCACACACAAAGGTGCTCCCGGTCCGTGCTCTCTTACTCTCTGCGCCAGCTGTGGAGCAGCTGCCCGGCTATTTACAGCTGTGGGGCTCGGCGTGAAAGGAGCCTCGTTCAGCAGCTCTTGCTCCCGAGCCCTTCTCACCGCCTCCCCCGCCTTTGCCAGCCCCCACCCCCCTAACCCCAAGCTTTCATGTTTCTGGAACATTCCAGGTCCCCTTGCTGGGCTGTGTGTTTCTGTGATGAGTGGCCTGCCCTGCAGAGCTGATTCCTGGGGCTCGTCTGCGGACTCTCCTGGAAGTGACCTTGAATGAGATGAAAGAGCTAATTTCCCACCAGACTCGGGCCAGGGCCAGGTCTTGGGCCCTCAGCTGCCATCCCGTCTCCCAGGTGAAGTCACATCCGCTCAGAGGCTCAGGAGGGTTCAGTTCCTTCCCGGGGAGCATGACGGGGGCCCTGGCCTCTCCTCCTCTGGACCTCCTGGGCCTCCAGCCAGGCTCTGCCCACCACGCCCCTCTGACGCCCGGGCAGGCCCTCCCCTGCCTGCCCCATCCCATGGGAGCTCCTGGTTCTGAGTCCAGCCCCTCCGGGACAGGCCAGCAAGGGGCTCAGCTCTGTCCCTCATCCCCACCCCTATTCTAGTGGGACAGATGGATTCGAGAGCCTTGAATCTTTTCTCTAAGTTCCCTTTGGCACCAAGTTAGTCCTCCTCACCCCTTTTTTTTAGCATTAAAAAAAAAAAAAAAAAAAAAAATATATATATATATATATATATATATATATATATATTTTAGAGAGGAAGAGAGAGATAGAAACATCAATGATGAGAAAGAAATCATTGATTGGCTGCCTCCTGCATGTCCCCCACTGGGGACTGAGCCCACAACCTCGGTATGTGCTCTGACAGGGAATTGAACTGTGATCCCCCGGTTTATAGGTCAAAGCTCAACCACTGAGACACGCTGGCTGGGCCCCAGTTAGTCTTGTTCCTCATTTCAGAAAAATCAGGACACTCCCACTCCCCCGAATCCAAAGGGTGGTTTGCTACTCACCTCACCAGCCATGGAGGGAAGGAACCCGACTCCCTGCTTTCATGGTTCAGCTGAGACCTGAGGGGAAGCCCATACCCTGGGAACAAGGTATGGAACCTCTGCTCCTCTGTGTTACCAGGGGAGGGTGCTCCCTGCAGGACACAGGATCTGAAGACATGATCTATTAGATAGAAATGGATCTGAAAACCAAATCCATTTTAAAAGTAGTAAAGGCTTTGCCTGTTTACCCTTTTCTTCCTTACTTCCCTCCCCCTCCCTCCTTTCCTTCCTTGGTAAAGTGAAGGATCCCTCCGACCATGGAGGAAGGTCTGGGGCACCGGATTGAAGTGGATTTCATTGCCTTGGTGCAATGCATCAGGTCTACGTTCTTTGTGTAACAGACGAGCTGAGCGAGTTAACCATTCAAGACACTGGGGCTGCCCCATCTCTGTGGACCAAGAGGAGGGGCAGTGAGGCCAAACAGTGTTCAGGCGCAGAGACGTTCACTTTGCTTTGACCTGCCACCTTCCCCGTGGCCTGTGTGCACCTGGCCTATCCGAATCCCCCTGGGGCTCTGGAGCATGGGCCGCCGAGCAGTTATTAGCAGAAAAACAAGAGCAAAACTAGTTTGCCTCCTTTGCGTCTGTGGCTGCCTGCCAATGTTTCCTTCAAATATGCACATTTTCATTCTGGAAATTTTTGTCAGGTTTATTGCAAATGGAAAGAGAGAGCAGACAGGAACAAAATGACATTTGCTGAGCTGGAAGGACTGTTTCTAAATCTATTCTTACGAATATACCAATGTTTGTGTCTTTTCTGGGGGGACTTAGAATCCAAGTCAGAGACAGCCTTAGTTTACCACTGGTTTCGGGTCTAGATCAGTGATTTTCAACCAGTGTGCCGTGGTTGATCTCCTTTCCTGTAGGTTGTAAACAACAACAACAAACATAAACAAAATAAACAGCCAACACAACAATAGCCATCTGGTATGAATGAATCAAAATTATACCTATTCTTTTTGTCATAACAGCAAAAAAAAATATTTTTGGTGTGCTGCAGATTTTTAATAATTAGTTTATGTGCGCCATGAGATGAAAAAGGTTGGGAATTGCCGGTCTGGATGCATGCACGTTTCCACATGTGCATAGTAAACAGGCATATGGCCCATGTATGGCAGGGGCCGTTGTGAGCCACCGCTGAAACATATGCAAGACAGATGGGCACTAAATCCACAAGATAATGGAGAATTGTAATGAATTTCATGGGCATCACATTTTTATGTGCCTGTAAACTTATGAAAGCCATGAAATTAAACGACTGCCTCACAACAGTACCAGAGTGACTAATTTAATTGGGGGGCGGGGAGGAGAAGGCCCTCTAGAAAAACCAATTGGTAAATCAAAACTAAAAACAAATACTCTTTAGAAATGGAGAATGAGCCGAAACCAGTTTGGCTCAGTGGATAGAGCATCGGCCTGCAGACTGAAAGGTCCCAGATTCGATTCCAGTCAAGGGCACGTACCTTGGTTGCGGGCACATCCCCAGTAGAAGGTGTGCAAGAGGCAGCTGATTGATGATTCTCTCTCATCGATGCTTCTAACTCTCTATGCCTCTCTCTTCTGCTCTGTAAAAAATCAATTAAAAAAAAGAAATGGAGAATGATATCCCGTCCGTTTTATTTGCTCACAGATCCCTTTGGCTATAAGAGTTTATTATGCAAGACACTCTCTTGTTTTACAAAAGGACGCGATGCCTCCAATCACACAGGGCAGGTCCCAGGGCCCACCTGGGATGACTATTGGATCTCAGGAGAGCCACTGGGCTGCAGAGGGGCCCTCCGGGGCATGACTGTATTTAAAGAGATGCTTCCTCATTTCCACATGAGCTTGATGACGGGAAAAAGGAGAAGGTGAACAACGTTTCCTTCATGGACAAAACAAATGTGACCTTCAGGGCATTTGCACAGCAAATGACCTTCCTCCTCACTTCCCTGCACATCGCTCGGTGGCTAGAAGAGCAAGAATATCTTTTTTCTAGATAGTTGGGCTGCATTTAAAAACAGCAAAATCAAAAACGTCCAATCTCCTCCCAAGAGGAGCAGAGCTTCTCTGCGTCTTGTGTTTGCTAACCGGCTTCGCACACCTGTTCACCTAACACCCGCTAAAAAAGCCGGGCTCAGAGTGGAGACCTGCACCCGGACCACCCCCTGCAGGAACCCTCCCGCTGCCTCACTGAGTGCGCTCTGACTACGGGCGCTAAACTCGGTTTCAGAATATTCTCGCAGTCCAGGAACTGGAGGTCACACTTCTATCTTAAAAGATGGGGAAACCAGGCCAGCGAATATTTACTTACTATTGGATTGCCCCCAAAACCGTTGGGGGGGGGGGGGGAAATGAGCTCTTTTTCTTCTATTTTTGCTCAAAGCAGTCCAAAGAAAACCAGGGCTGGTTCACTCCAGTCTGTGAGTTCAGCTCAGTGCTGAACCAGCTCCAGTGAAATCGCAGTGAGAGCCGGCACCAGACCTGGGATCTAACTGCATCCACCTCCACTCCCGACTGCAGAGGCCGAGCTCTCCCTTCCTGCTCCGGGACAGACCCCTCCTGGAGAGGGCACTTCACTCTCTCTCTTTTCCTGTCTGCAGGGGAAAGGGACCACTGAAACTTGAAGTTGGGCTGTATTTAAAAAAAGAAGAGTGGCCTTCAAGGCCTTGAAAACGTGCAGCTACGCTGTATGTTGCTTGGACACCTCTACTCAAGCTCAGGGGAGCTGCCCGCGGCCCGTCGAAGTCGGGCTGGCTCCAGGCCGCAGCCCCTTCTCCCCGCGGCGCCGGCATCTGGGTTAAAATGCAGCGACAGCTTTGGACCCACGTGGACTGCACAGGGCACACACATGGGTAGGCTCTATGGATCGGTGTTATGTTAAAAAGAAGTTTCTGAGATCTCGCAGATAAATTAATTTTCTGGTTAATTTATATTGAGTACATCCCCCCCCCCCCGAAATTGTGCCAAGCCCAGAATAGACAAACAACAACATTTGAGGCAATTACACTATATTTTGAATCCCCCTCTCCTCCAGCTTTTCTCTGTCTATAGCATAAAGTTTTCTCTGGATACAATAAAACATGTTAATATACAATAGATCACAAGTCTGTAGTAATGAATGAGAGATCATGTGCTTTTATTTAACACACAGAGAGAGAGAGATGTGTATTTCACAGATACAGTTCTTCCTGGGTTTGGTTGTTGACAGACCACAAACAGTTTCTTATCTTTTTATTTACAATTAGGCTCCTTTCCTTTAACTGAAAGGAAACTTCAGGCTCCTCTCTCAGCAATGCTTTTATTTTCTGGGAAAGAGAAGGTAGGAAAGCATAGATGAGTAGAAGTTTGGAGGGCAGGAAAGAACCGCAAGCAGTGCCTAGACATATGTTGATTAAAAAAGAAAAAACTGCCGAAACCGGTTTGGCTCAGTGGTAGAGCGTCAGTCTGCGGACTGAAAGGTCCCGGGTTCGATTCCGGTCAAGGGCATGTACATTGGTTGCGGGCACATCCCCAGTGGGGGATGTGCGGAAGGCAGCTGATGGATGATTCTCTCTCATCGATGTTTCTAGCTATCTATCCCCTTCCTTTCCTCTCTGTGAAAAATCAATAAAACATATTAAAAAAAAGAAAAAAGAAAAAACTATCCATGCTTTGGAATGGAAAGAATATTAAAATGTCCTGTGATTTCTTTCTATATTTCATTACGAGCCGGATTCAATGCCCGTGCAAAGGCAGCCTCAGGCAGGGGGTGTGAAAGAATGTCAGTGCTAGGAGAGAGAATATACCACCGCCCACAGGTCAGAAGGCTGCTCCCACACACCACGCTGCCCCTTCACAGTGACTCCACGCCATACGCCACGGACACCTGCTCTGTGACCTGCGAGGCGGAGCTGGCGGGGCGGCGTGACAGTGACCGTGTCGGGTTACGCCGCCGCTGGAGCGCCTCGCAGGATCGGCTCTGGAATGAGGACTGCGTGGACTGAGACGGTGGGAGCTGCTTTGAGTAATTAGATCATCTCAGGGACGTTCAATCCTAGAATTGCTGTCTGTCACAAATGTGCAACTGACACAGGATTCCCGAGAGGATGTTGTTAAGGTTCTGGGCTTTTTGCTCAGTGCTTATCTGTGTGTTATTGGTGCTTCGGTTTGATGCTGTGAGTGTAGCGTGAGGAGGGTGCACCAGGAGGCTCTGCTGCCCCCCCCCCATACCTCCCCTCCCCCCCAACTAATGGCTTATGGTGCCTGCAGCTGCAGCACTTGGAGGGGGCGGGGGGGGGGGGGGGGGACGGGGAGGCGCAGAGGTGGCTAAGGGCTGCCTGGGAGCCGAGCACTGCTGCCCCGGATGTTGGTGAACTGCACTTCCTTGACACTCATTTTTCTGGGCATTCCCAGCTGGTCCTCTGCTCTGTCCCTGCACCTCCACCCCCAAGTCCAAAGACAGCTTGGGACCGCAGAACCACGGGTGAGACTGGCTGGGCTCTCTGGGGGTCCCACGCAGGCCCGAGAGTCTGCTGCCCTGCTGCTGGGCCAGCCCAGGAGCTGAGGCAAGAGGATCCTCTTTCTAAGCCCGAGTCAGGCCCAGAATGCCCAGCTCACCACCCGGCGGTGCTTTCGGCTTGGTTTTCCGAAGGGCGGGGGCGCCCAGGTCCTGGAGCATCTCGCGCTGGGCCAGCGCATGAGGTACAGACCACGAAAAGTTTTACAAGCAGAACATGAGGTCATCGCTCTTCACCAAGAAGCCAGAGCGGCAACAGGAGGGTTGGCACCGTGCTGGGGCGTGGCGGCTGCTTTCTCACCCGTCCGAGGACCTGCAGAGCCAGGCTCCTCGCACTGCCAGCCGTCTCACACACAGTGGACACTCCTGCGGCTCCCAGCATCCATTGCTACGGGCACAGATGCACGAGGAATGGGTTTGTGGGGGTGACAGAAGCCACCTGTCAGGAACACAGACACACTCTTGGAGTTCTGGAAACTACCGCATGGCTAGCTCACAAGCTCACACTTGGTTTTCCATCAAAGCGTGCAGGTCTGAGCCTCTTGTAATTCTCCCAAGAAAATGGACAGTTGAAAGAGGAAGATGAGGAAATTTGGAAATAAGATTCTGAAAGGGCTGAAGCCACCCACTGTATTGGCTACCTAAGGGATTGAAGAATTTGAATCACTATCCATGTGATTCATGCAATAAATTCATCCAATAAATTTTGTCCCATTTGAAACATTTTAGGAAAAAGGATTCTTTTACCTTCAATTAACTGCTTCAAGTTCCTTTTTAAAAAATAGTTTTACCTTATCTTCTTTAGGCTTTATGATATTAATTTCCTTAAGGCTCATATAAATAACGTTCTTCAATATTAAAAAACATACAAAGAAGTCTGAACATTCTCCGAGTGTCTAGGTAAGTTAAGGAGAGAAGTCTATGGAAGTCCTTGACAGAAAATTTTGCAAAATACAACTTGTCATGCAATTAATATAAGCAAGGGAACAAGGACAACATTCAGCCATATTCTTCTGTGCTAAATAAATTCTCTAAATATAGCTGTGATAATATCAGAAGCCTTTATTCGTGAGGAAGAAGAGATCTCATCCTGGCCAACCAAAATTACCAAAGAGAAGTTCCATCAACACACTGTGTTCTAAAACTTGGTTCTTAAAAGTAAACTCTTGGTGTTCTCAGTCCTCTGTAGTCAACAGTCTGTTTTTTTTTTTTGTTTGTTTTTTTTTGCTTTTATCCAAGATCCCCAAATTGGTGTAAAAATTACAAATTGTGTTCTATGCTATTTCAAGTTAAAGGCCAAGTGATATTTATTTTTTCTTTCCCTTTCTCTAATATGTTCCTGAAATATTGGAGATGTATAGATATATGGTAAGGTATTTTAAAAATGATCTAACATTATAATAAAAAATTACTG